CAAGTTAGATAGCTTGTCAAAGGCCCTGGCCTTTGAGCTTGTAAATTCTGATTTGCTGCTGTCTAGTCAAGAGTAACACATCTATTCATTTCCTTCCTGATCCTCCAGGGAAACCTAAGACAGATGCCTGGGTTTATATTTTAAGCTGATAAGAGATATCCTGGCTAAACCACGGAAGATCATGCTCTTACACAAGACCACTGCTTATTATTTGCCCTATCTGGCGAGCCTTCATTGGGTATGCTGCTTTCGAAAAGTCACATTTTTCTCATGTTGTAGAAACTCACAGCCATTGACGCGGGGCGGTTCAAGAACCCCTTCCTGTGGCACCTGCCCCAGGTGACGTGCTAAAACTCTCATCTGCTTCCACTGGGCCAGGGAGAACTTTCATACAAGCCAGGTGAGTCACCACCTTTACGGGCAAATAATTACACCTTATATTTGAGAGTGCTTTCACATATCTGATCTCATGTAACCCTCAGGATAACCCTGTGGGGAGGGCAGGGGAGGAAATATCACTGTATCTACAGGCGAAAGAAACAGGCTCTGAGTTTAGAGTGATGTCCTTGAGTTCACAGAAAGGGCATGAATCAGTATCTTCTGACTATATTCAATGTTCTTACTCCTTCACAGCATTTCATATGCGGGCCACTGCTGCATGTGTGGGGCCTCGGGCCTGAGGGAAGCAGCCGTAATGAAGAGCTGGAGGTCTACTCTGGGACAACGCCAGACTCTCAGATCTGTTTCCCCACAGGGTGAATGTCCTGCCTGCTCTTGACAGGGCTTCTGGCTATGCCCTACACCTTCCTTAGGTGGAGGGCAGTTTTCTACACTTCAAGCCTAACCTACCCTCTGAGAAAGTATTGGGGACAGGGAGGGAATGGTGCTCATGGGAGATTCTAAAAGTATCTCCTTTCAAACGCAGTGACAAGGATCTCTGACTAGATTCTGCTCACGTGTGGTTTTATTCATCCGATGTGGCTATATTAGTAATGTCCAGTGATTGAGCGGTTCATCTTTATATACTTAACAATGGTCTTCTGATCATGTCCTGGAAATAAAGATGAGTTTTCCCCGGGGCTTTATCTTGCAGTGGTGCAGAACAGTGCTGGACATCCTCTGTTTGTGAGCAGCGCCCGGCTGCCTCCCTGTCCATCCCACCTGCTCCAGGAATCTGCAGCGCTCAGGCAGAGCTCCTCCCTCGCGAGCTGGCCTTCCTGACCTCCTGGCACTTCTCCATTGCCCCTCACTCCCCACTGCACTGGACTCAGTCTCAAACTTCCTTTTAGAAATTCGGGCTTAAGAGTCTCAGGGTTCTCATCCATCCTGGGGATAATGCTTTGCTGGAGGCCACTCTGGAAGAGAGGGATTGACCCCTGGCTGGAAACCACCTGCGTTCCATTCCTGTCCACTGTCTCAGGCTGACTTGACTATTTACAGTTCTAGAGTACAACATGGTTTGTTCTCACGAATTTATCTTCCTATTTCATTACCTTTGTTCCTCTCTGAATCCCTCGTTTGTTTTTAGTATCTGATCTGCAATCACGTGGCACTGAGGATGGTCCCCTCCTACCTAGGTAGGGGATGGCCTCCCTGCCACCTGGGTAGAAGCGGGGAGAGGTGTGTGTGTGTTCAGGGGAGTGAAGAAAGGAATCGGAATTACTGAGCACTTACAGTATGCCAGACTACAACCCATCTCCTTTAATCTTCTGAAGAATCCTGCAAGGAAGGTAATGATAGCACTTCCAGTTTAAAGATGAGAAAACTGAGAGTCGGAGAGATGAAAGCTGGGATCACACAGCCAGTCGTTGTTTCTCTTGACTGAAAACCTACGTCCCCAGCACTGGAGGGGGATTTGAAATAACTTTCATTCTCCACACCAACCCCACAGTCCACCTTTAGTCCCTTCTACAGACGCAGAGAAGGGAGGCTCAGAAAAATGAGCTCCTAAGTGTTAGATTCAGATTCAAGACTCCACCCAGGTCTGCCTGACGCCCAGACGCCAGGCAGCCAGCTCAGGACTTGGCAGCTCTGGCCCCTCTAAGCAGGCTACCACTGCCTTTCTGTCTCTGGCTTGCAGAGGCGGGTCCTGCCCGTCCTGGCCCCGTGCTCTTCATCAGGCTTGCCTTAGCCTCCTTCTTGCTACCCCCCGCTCGTGGCTCCTCCCTGGCCCGGGCCTGCCTGGCTGCCAAGGCCACATCTGCTCTTGCCATCAGCCAGCTGCTCACTGGCCTCCAGTCCCAGTTCAGTAATAAAGACATCCAGGCCGGAGCGGGGGCCAGCACGGCCCACAGCCCGTCTGCCTCAGCACCGGATCCTCGTCTGTAGAGATGTCTGGCTTTTAAGCTTCCTCCCTGCTGCAAATCAAAACCATCCGAACTCTCTACAGCCGGCCTGGCACTGAGTCGTGGGCTGAGGTGGCTGAATGCTCCTGGCCTGGGGCTCCCTGTCAGCACCTGGCCACCACCCTGCCCGAATCCCCGGTTCCAGAGCTGCGGGCCTGCCTGCAGTGAGCCCCTCGTGCCGGTGAAAAGTGAGATTTCAACATTCACTTTATACCCTGTGGAGGATAAAGCTGTTGCTCAAGCTTGTGGTGAAATCCCTTAGGAATGAGCCCTTGGGTAACTCCGGTGTGGGGTGGCGGTGTGGGGCTGCCCCGCCGAGTCTCTGCTGGTAAGTCAGCATGGTACTTGGAAAAGGCCACTAGGAGTTACAGAGCTTTACCTGTTACAATAAATAAACCAGGAGTGAAAACCCACCCTGCTCAGCACCTCAGGCTAGCTGTGTTAGGGATGGGATCCTCCCACAGCAGCCCTCTCACAAGGTGGGGACTGCTCATTATTACCACCTGGAGTTTACAGATGGGGGCACCAAGGCCTGAGGATCACACTGCTGGGAGTGGCCAGCCGAGACTCAAACCCAGACAAGGCTGGGAGCCCTGTTCTCTCCACCGCGGCTTCACAGGATGCCAAGAGCACAGCTGTTCCCTGCACCCCCCACCCCATCCTCCACCCAGGGCCAGATGTGCTGCTTCTGGAGTCCCCGCTCTTTCCTTATCTGCTGAAGGCGCTTCGCAGGACTGATGCCGAGTCTTCATTTTGCTCCTGCTTTTCATTCAAGGAGCAGCACCCTGTCCTGTCCCTCCCACCTTTTTATTCAAAGCAAACTCTGGTCACCACGATCTTCTTTCAGCTCACCTTTCCTCCAGTGCCTTCTTGGATGTCTGTCTGATGTCTGCCTAGCTCAGTTTCTACAACTGGTGACCCCAGAGATGGAAAAAGATGATTATAAGCTAAACTTTTGATGTCCCCCCGCCCCACAGACTCAGAGACTGCCTTTGGCTATATTTAATCTAGTATTGTGAGCATTTGGGGAACACAGTAACTGATGATTGGTAACATTTACAATCAGAAACTTCCTTTGTTTACCACTTCAGGTTAGAAGGTTTGGAATATTCTTTTTATACAAGAGAAAATCAACTTGTAAAAATACATTAAAGGCCCAAGAGTAATATGTCAATACATTTACTGTGAAAATATTCAAATGACACAAACACATTGAGAGTGAGGCATTACCTTTTCCTAGTCCTCCTATAATAGACTCCTTCCCAGAGGGAACTGCTTGTTAGCAGTTTGAGTTTTGTATTTCCTGAAAGTTTCCTTTGCATATAGACATATGGTTTAAAACTTAACCTTGAGCAGATGCTCTCACAGGGCCCAGGCATCAGGAAAAGCACCAGATGGTCATTCTGTGAGAAACATGGAGTCCAGGATGAGCCTCCTTCCCCGCTGTGGCCTGGAACATTGGGGAATGCCTGGCACGTGCCACTGGGGATGGGAAATGAATGAGTGGTCAAATGAATACAGACTGGAGACCCACAACAGGTTACTTATCTACTTTATTAATGAATTAGTTAATTTATTGGCCGTGCTTAGTTCCCTGACCAGGGATTGAGCCCAGACCACTGCAGGGAAAATGTTCTAACCACTGGACTGCCAGGGAATCCAAGAGGTTATTTACTCATTTTTAAAAAGAGTGATCTTTGCTTTAATGATCATTTCTTTGGGGCTATCTGCCATTTTCTCCCTTACTCAATTTCAAACTTCTGAGTAGAATGAATGAAGCATCTGGGGTCTCCAGTATTTCAGCACCATGAAAGAACCAGTGTTAGGTGGAAAACATACTTGGACAAAATAAAGAAGGTCGGGGTCAAGAAAACCTGCTTTGATGACATCTCAAAATGATTTCCAACTTTACAGTTTTCTCATAAAATGGTAGTGTTTGGCAGAGAACTATAAGTAGAGACACATTTTGGTTTACATTTTATTTCTTCTACCTGTTTAATTCACACTAGTCATTGTTTTTCAGCTTTCCCTCTTTATTATAAACATCTTTAAGAGACGCTAGAAATTTCCATCAGCTATACACCTACACATGCATGGTTCCTAGAGGTTCCTTTCTGCTGGAATTCTTATACAATTCCACTCTGTGGGTCTAGGCTTCTCTGTTATGGCTAGAAGGAAGACTAAGATTCACAGAAAAGAAAGAAGTAGAAATGTGTAATCAGTAGAAATGTGAAATCATAAGTCATAAGGGGTAGGGTTCCAACCTAGACCTCCTGGACCAGATATCTTTATTGGGGCCTTCCTCTGGGAGGAGAGGAAACCTTTTATGGGCAGTCACAGTGCTCCAATCAACCTCTCCCCCACTCCTGTTCCAGGCAGGCTGGCAGCCCTGCCCAGTAAGCAGACAGGAACAATGCAGCTCTTTGTAAAGGCAGGAGATTTACAACAGAGGCAGACGATCGCACTGCCCTACCACCCCCCGCCTTTCCTCCCCTGTTCAGAAATGTCTCAGATCAAGAGAGAAACAAAGCCTCAGATCACATTTGCAACGTTCCCTCCTCAGCTACATTATCTTGAAAACCAAACTTTCCTGACACCCATGATTCTAAAGCATGTCTAACTTCTCCTAGAGCAACTGCAGATCAAACGGCTTGTAATCTACCAACACTCACCGACAGGCACTTGTTTAGAATGAACAAACGTGCAGGTGGAATCAGAAAGATCACAGACAGAGGGGTAAGGATAAACGGGCATTATCATGAATTAGGCCAGCTGAAAGGCAGTTTGATACCTTTAGAAAAATGATTAAAAAAAAAAATCTCAGCAATACTTCACTGTGTGGTTACGAAGATCCTTTGGGCAACATTTAGTCATAACCATGATTAGTAACAGGGAGACTGGTCTGGGAGGCATTGGATGGAGACAGATAACAGTACTGGGGTTTCCAGCTCAGGTAGGGCTCATCTTCTTGGGAGACGCTTAGAAGCCAAGGTCTGGATGCAGCCGGTCAGTCGCAAACAACAGCTCAGGGATGTTAAGCGGCTTTAGGAGTCGCGTGGACAGCACGATTACCTGACAACGGGAGGGGCGAACATATCGCAGACAATTAGGAGAGCCAATCCCAGCTTAATAGGTAACAAGAAATAAAATGCAACACAATTCTTTGAGGGGAAGGCATAGAGTGGATGCTGTGGGGGAAAAGGCAGAAGGCAGCCGCTGGAACGCCACTGGGTTCTCGAGTCCCAGGTGGAAGGAGGGGAACGCAGGCTGGGAAGGGCAGCTTGCAGGACGGGGGACTGCATCTGCTGAGCCTTCAGCCAGTGGGCACTGGGCAGGGCCAAGCCTAGCCACTACCCCGCTGCTTAGTTGCACTCAATCAGAGCTTTGCTTTGTGATCTGGTAATCTGAACTCCACAAAGGGGTCCCTCTCTCCTCCAGGGAGGCTTTGCTCCTTCAGGGAAAGAGAGAAGGCATACTCAAGAGCCGCATGTTGCTGTGGGTGAGAATGATGATGATGACTGTATCTATCTCCTAGTACCCATTTCAATGACAGAAAGCCGTCATCTCACAGCTCGGGAGGTCAGAAGTCCAAGATGAAGGTGTTGGTAGCTTGGCTCCGTCTGAGGGCTGCGAGGGAGACCTTCCCTCTTAAGCTTCCTTACGTCTTCACCCTGTCTTCCCTCTACAACTCTGTCTCTGCGTCTCTCTTTCCCCTTTGATAAGGACACAGTCATAGAGGATTACAGCTTACCCTAACGACCTCATCTTTTTTTTTTAATTAATTATTTTAGTTGGAGGCCAATTACTTTACAACACTGTGGTGGTTTTTGCCATACATTCACATGAATCAGCCATGGGTGTACATGTGTCCCTCTGTCCCAAACCCCGCTTCCACCTCCCCCATCCCATCTCTCTGGGATGTCTCAGTACACTGGCTTTGAGTGCCCTCTTTCATGCATCGAACTTGGACTGGTTAATGACCTCATCTTAATTGTGCTCAGTTGCTCAGCTGGCCAGGCTCCTCTGTCCATAGAATTTTCCAGGCAAGAATACTGGAGCAAGTTGCCATTTCCTACTCCAGGGGAATCTTCCTGACCCAGGGATGGAACCCTGCATCTCCTACATGTCCTGCATTGGCAGGCGGGTTCTTTACCACTAGCACCACCTGGGAAGCCCTTCATCTAAACTGATCATCTGCAAAGACCTATTTCCAAATAAGGCCACATTCACAGGTACGAGGGGTTTGGACTTTAACATCTTGTGGGAGGGGACACATTTCCACCCATGACAATGATGATAATAATGATGATATCTGCTAATACTTATTAGTTATTTTTTTATGATGTGCCAGGCACAGAGGATGCTCTCATTTAATATCCATTTAATCTTCATAACAACCCTATTTGCAGATATGGAAAATGAAAAGCAGAAAGATTAAGTAATTTGACCAAGGACACACAGGAAGAAGCTGAATCAGGATTCCAACCCAGGCAGGCTGGATCCAGTGTCCAAGTGCCTGTTGGGTCACTTCTCCATTATCAAGGGCTCTGGGAAGGCTGCTTACTCTCTGAGTCCATATGGACACTTGGGCCTCTCTGGCCTGTGTCATGGTATGCCCCTTCTGCTTCCCCAAGACTCAGCTGTTCCTGGGGGGCAGAGTTCCCTCTGAAGCACTGGGAGAGTGCGTTCCCAGGGCTGGGCTGTGGCAGCGATGAGCTCTGCCCATCTGGTGAGGTTCTCCCAGGCAGGGGTTTTACACCCAGATGACGAGGGAAGTGAGGAAGGAGGCGCTGGAGGCAGATTCTGGAGCCCAGCCCCTGAGAGCAGGGGTCCCAGGCGGCCAGCAGGCCTGAGCTTTAAGGGGTCACACCGCCTGGCTGGGTCTCTCAGTGGGGAGCAAGAGACTCACTCACTCTCTTCCCCTTCCGCACCCCGATATGGTGCTAGGAAGAACGAAACCAATAAATCAACCAATTCGCTGGCCAAAAACAGAGCCTACTCTCTTATGTGGAGGACAAGCAGAGGGAAGGGAGGAGAGAAGAAAGCGTTTTAGAATTTTCTTGTTCTCAGTATTAAAAAGTTTTCCGTTTAAAACAAAAATTAACCTTTGAAAGCAGTGATTACTTTTTATTTTGAAAGAGAATTATCCTTGAAAATATATGGTTAATATCAGTCAAGTCACATTTTTGGCAGAAGTACACTGCAGCCTGTGCTCACGTTTTTCCTTGAAAGCCATGTGATGAGAGTTTGGGGGTAGAGAGTGAACGTTAGCATCCTCTTATCACACGGTGTAGACACCATTGGAATATGCGGCTCTGGAGAGGGTCTCTACTCACCCCTCAGGGTCTTCGAGACCAAGCCCAACAGATAGTTGAGAATGGTGGTACCCAGACCAGCAGGCTCATCAGACGCTAGCAGAGCCCGGCACCACGGCTGATCAGCTACGTACCCTGGGGAAGGTCGTTTGGCTTGTGGCCTCACTTTATCCATCCCAGGAGAAAAACAAAGCCGGCAGAATCGTGGCAAGGATGACCCAAGGATGACCCAAGGTGAAGACCGTAAAGTGCACAAGGCGCCCAGCACTGCGGAGCTGCCGTTTCACTGTGATTGCGTGGTTGGGTCATGGCGGTTTAGTCACTAAGTCGGGTCCAGCTCTTGAGACGCTATGGACTGGAGCCCACCAGGCTCCTCTGTCCATGTGATTCTTCAGGCAGGAATACTGGAGTGGGTAGCCATTGCCTTCTCCAGGGAATCATCTTGACCAAAAGATTGAACCTGGGCCTCCTGCATCGCAGGCAGATTCTTTACATTTTGAGCCACCAGGGAAGACCAGGCCTCCTTTTGAATATCATGAAAGTTAAGAACGCTCTAGAAAAATACATGTATGTTCATATACACAAGACTTTGAACATAGTTTCAGGTGAGGTTTGTGGCTAACAAGGATTCATAGACCACAGGTTGTGCTGTGTTTAGTCGCTCAGTCATGTCTGAATCTTTGTGACCCCATGGACTAGAGCCTGCCAGGCTCCTCTGTCCATGGGGATTCTTCAGGCAAGAAGACTGGAATGGGGAGCCATGCCATCCTCCAGGGGATCTTCCCAACCCAAGGACTGAACCCAGGTCTCCCACATTGCAGGCGGATTCTTTACCATCTGAGCCTCCAGGGAAGCCCAGACCACAAGTTAAAAGACCCTTATTCAGATATTTCTAAAAGAGCACACATAAACACAAGACTCCTTTGCACGAGAGTTGACTCTTGTGAGGTGCAGGAGGACAGGTAGCTAGGCCACAGGCCCCCCCCTTGCCCTGTGCTTGCCAGACCCCACCACCTGGGTTAGATGGTGCTAACCACCATGGTTAGACCATGCTAACCCCTGGGGTCCTGAGCTCCAAAGCCAAAACTGCAGATTCCTCTCTGGCTCAGGTGAGGGCAAGTGGAGTGGCTCGAGTGAGTCTCTGAGGATGCGCACGTCTCATGAACATGGTAGAAGAACTGGGAGGGAAAGGCTGTGGCTCGGTTGATGTGCAGACTTCCAGGGCAGTGACAACTAAGCCCAAAGAATCCTCCACTCTCAGGGCGGAGGCTGGGCTTCCACTCATGGCCAACGGACTGCTGGCTATTATCTGCTCTGAGCCGGCACCAAGGACCGGGACCCTGTCACAACCAGACAAGAGGGTATTTGGCAAGAGGGCTGAACCAGAGGACGTCTGGGGTGTGTGTTCTGGAGGGTTGGAAAGAAACAGATGGGAAACAACGGCAGTCTGTGAAGTCACTGAGAGGTGCCAGTGTCATCAGGAGGGAGGACGTGGAGACCAAGGACTCCCGCCGATGGTCCAGCGGATCAGATCACAGCCTCAGCAGTGTCCCGTGTGAGTGCGGCCACAGTTGGCCACCTGCCAGACGGCAGACCTGGAGAATTTGCTGGATCACTCTGAGCCTCAAGTTCTTCGTCTGTGAAGTGGAAATAATAACATCCACCTCACATGACCAACATAACGGTCAAATGTGAACATAGATATAAAATATTCAGCACAATGACAGGCCCTGGAGGGGCTTAAAACGGTGCCTGCTACTATCATCTTCATTAGCACCACCACCTTCACCAGCTTCATCCTCTGCTGCGTCCCCTCCCTCCAGCGCAGAGCAGTCACTGGGCTGACGCAGGGCAGGGGGATGTGCAGAGACGTCTTCCTCATGTGTGGGTCTGATGGCATTCACTCCCAGGCTGCGAACCCTGACTGCCTTCCTCCACCCTCTCTAAGCTTGACCCACTGCTGCAGAACAGAATAAAAAAAGAAGAATGAAAGAATTGAGGACAGTCTAATGGACCTCTGGGACAACATTAAAGGCATCAACATTCACATTATAGGGGTCCCAGGAGGAGAAGAGAGAGAGAAAGGGCCTGAGAAAATATCTGAAAAGATCGTAGCCAAAAACTGCCCTAATATGGGAAAGGAAATAGTCACTCAAGTCCAAGAACCACAGAGTGTCCCATACAGGATAAACTGAAGGAAGAACACACCAAGACACATATTAATCAGACTGGCAAAATTTAAAGACAAAGAGAAAAATATTAAAAGCAACAAGGGAACAGCAACAAACAACATACAAGAGAATCCCCATAAGGTTATCAGCTGATTCTTCAGCAGAAACTCTGCAGGATGGAAGGAATCGCACAATATATTTAAAGTGATGAAAGGGAAAAACCTACAACCAAGAATACTTTACCCAAATGCTTGATCAGACCCAATAGCGAAATCAAAAGTTTTCTAGATAAGCACAAGCTTAAGAGCATTCAGCACCACCAAACTAGCTCTACAACAAATATTAAAGCAACTTTTCTAGATGTAAAAGAAAAGGCCACAACTAGAAATAAGAAAATTATGAAGGGGAAAGCTCACTGGTAAAGGCAAACGTACAGTAAAGGTAGGAAATCACCCTCCTACAAATACGAATTCAAAACCAGCAACTGTGAGAAGAGGAGAGTACAAATGCAGGCTATTGGACATGCATTTGAAATTAAGAGACCAATCTTGTAAGTAGATAAATTGCTATATCAAAAACTTATGGT